TTTGTCAAAGTATATTTATTTTATTTATTCATTAATTCTTGGTGAATTGACTCATTTATTATACAGAGTGTCTGTATAATATGGAGGTCATTTGCCTTTTTATGTGATATCCTTACAGGATGTTTGTGAAGTTGCTAGTATGCTATTCTGAGAAGGTCACAATTCACAAGATCTGTAGAAAGCTGTAAAATCCCATTTTGGATTAATAATTTAATAGTAAAATAGTAAATTTTACAAATAGTAAAATAGTAAAACAGTTGTTGACATTATGGAAAACAAAGGTTCTTTCTGAATAATTTTGTAAATTTGTGAATGGTATTCCCGAATTTTATGGTTCCTCATAACACCTTGTGATCATTTTGTTTCATCACTAGAAAAAGGAATTGTTCAAATAAAATGACTGTATTTCCCCCCCCGTGTGAAACCTGTAATGTGTGTGGAGAACCATGGTGTGAGTGACTGCCATTTACCTTTCCTGTGCATTTAAGGGATAGGAAGTGACTCTGATATTTTTTTCTCATTGGGTTTACCTCTCTTGATGTGAATCACTGCGTCTGAGCCTTGAGGATCAAGAGAACTCTATGCTCCTGCACACCAGTATGATGTGTCACTCACAGCTCTAGCCTGGCCCAATGATTAAGTCAGTGTCAATTCTGGAGTGATTATTCAAAACTACCACCTCAACTGCCTACCTACCACTACAGCTGTGGGGGTTGCAGCCTGACAGAAAGCATCACATTTAGTCACGCATGTCATTACATGAACGAGAGCTCAGGTGTAAGAGTTGTCGTGCCTGTGACTGCTTGATTGTGTATCATTTCCAAGCCAACCGTGCCAATGAGTTGCCCCAAGGTTGCCCACATATTTCTGTTTCCACGTTCCTTTGCAGTCCAGTAAATTTGCCAGCTTAATTGGTAGACCTAGAAAAAGACAAAAAAATACAAAAAAGTTTAATCTCCTGAAAAGTGACTAATTATACTTGATGAACTACTGAGGTATACACTGCTGGCTTAAACTTCTAATATCAACAAAGAACAGTTAATACAGTATGATATTAAGTGTGTATGTATTGTCTGATACTGTACATCATGTTATGATACGGTACGTATTGGATCCACATGTTAAAAGTTTTAAGAGATGACAGTACACAGAAATTAAAATAATGTAAGGGAATTCAGAAAAACAAACTTAAAAGAAACCTCTTTATGCATGTATAAAGTTGTGAAGTTGAATTCACATTTTTGGTGGCATCATTATTCATTCGATCATGACAAATTTGAATGACTTGATTGCATAAGCATTCCATGAACTCATTAGTGAGAGGTCACAGATGATGAGGTGCCCTCATATACCCTGCATATCAGGAGAACAATGCGTTCATGCTGTAGTTATGATGAAGGCTTGGGTGAGTCTGCACACTGTCACTTGTTGCCTGGAGTGTCCATAACCAGCAAACACATTAAGTAAGCGACAGGCCATGAGTCACCACACTGCAGCAGAATCGATGGGGAGTGTGTGAAGGTGTGGCTGGGAGTGGCTAATTCCTGCAGAACTTCACAGGCAGTGATTAATAGCAACCTGACGCTGATAAAATCCTGAAACCCCACCTGCTGCCCTTGCTGCCAGCGCAACCTGGCTTGGCAACATACTGTACATTTTCATGCAACTCATGTGTCTGAAACTTTCTCTCAAAATGAGAGTATGGCAGTTATGCCTTGGATGTTCTTGTAGGAGCTAGGGTGATATGTTGCTCAGAGACCAATAAACCAGCACATGCTTGTCAAGAGGAATGAGACAGAATCCACAACCTATTGTAAAGAATGCATCACCAATGTAGAATTTATAGGGCTTCCAATAGCGATTGCACATTGTTACTAGCCTGCCATCTTCACTGTAGACCCCCTGTTGACCACTCTTGTTAATCAGCATAATAAATTTTACCCGTGTTATTCTGCTCAAGAAACTGTAAGTGCACCTGCTACATAAAAAATTGTCATTTTCCTGACAATAACTTTAAGAAATTGCTGAGCTGTAGTTATAAATAATAAGTTTCTTTGGATGCTCGGAACATTTATTGTGCATATACCTTAATTTGATAAGTCAGCCACCAACACATCATTACCAGCTGACAGTTTTCCTAGTAGAAAGAAGGCACATTAGGATGCCATGCCACGTCACACAGCTTCTTCCTCTGTGTAGCATATTTGGTATATTATTACAGAGGAGCTACCGTAGGTGTCTGTTTAGGTCTGTTTTTGAGATGGAAGAATTCAGAGCCTATAGAAAGTCTACTTCCCCTTGAACTTTTCAAGTTTTGTTGTCAGTGCCTCAGAGTTGCATTTAAATTAAGATTTTTGTCCCCTTATCTACACAAAATATTCCACATTAGGAAAAAATGGCATATTAAAATACAAGACTAAAATATCATAATAGGATAAATTTACACTATCCTGTATTCCTGTGAAAGCACCTTTAAGAACGGTTACAGCAGTCTGTTAAGATTGGTCTCTACCACCTTTGCACACCTAGATTTAGCAATATTTGACCATTTACAATATGTCAAACTTACAATATGTATAACTTACAATATGTAAAAAAAAAGATCAGAATATACTGTAACCATTACATATAAAATTTGACCCCACAGACAACAGTACCACAGCACATACAGATACCTGTTTCTCCACAAATATTTTTAATAAACAGACACGACACATCATTTAGTCAGTTGTACTTTGCTTTGTGCTGTTTTTGTAGTGAGTCTCTTGTATTGTAAATGTATTGTAAATAAACACCGGATTTGTTTTGTGATTAAACAAATACAGGTTTATTATTATTATTAAGATTCAACAGTTAATGGATGTGGGAAATTCTTCACATTTAGAGGAGCAGGACACAGTCTTGTGCAGGTTCAGTTTTATTGAGCTCAATAAGTCCAACAACGCGTGCCAGGTGTGCCCCTCAGAACAGACTGACTGCAAGGGTTTCCTAGCTCTTATATACAGTCAGAAGAAAGTTTGTTTCACAATCTGAGTGCTTGTCCTGTTCTTTGATATGTAATTATAATTATTAGGCCATAAAAGCTTGTAGCTCTTTCAAAGTTGCTCTTGGCGCCCTCTCTGATCAGTATCATTCTTGCTCAGTCATCCAGTTTGGTGGGAAGGTCTGATCTAGACAGTGACATGGTGGTTACCATACACTTTTCACTTCTTAATATTCATCTTAACCGTGTTCCGGTGGATATTCAAGGCTTTTTGAATCTTTTTTGCCATTCCTCTGATTTGTACCTGTCTACAACTTTGTCACAGAATTCTTTTGAAAGATCTTGGTGCTTGTGGCTGAGTCTTTGCTTTGAAATGCACTACCTGTCAGAGGGAATTGCTAAATTTATCCTGAAATTACATTAAGCACAACAATTTAGCATAGGTGGAGGCCAGTTAACTTCCTGTTTGTTTCACTCCCTTCCAGATTCTGCCGTCTGCAAAGGGTCCTGAAAAACGCTTCGTGACTGGTTACATTTGAGCAAATTTAGAAGCCCTATTAAAAAGGGGTGGGCACGTATCCAGCCAAGCTATTTTGTTTTTATTTTTTATTCTTTTCCTATTAAAATGTTTTCAAATTTGCAATGTAGGGGTAGGAAGTGTAAAGAAATGAAAAGAAAATTAATGCCAAGCTATAAGGCAGCTGAAGGTGGAGATTTGAAAAGGGAATCTGGTGCATTAGTGAGTCTAGAGATTACATTTAAGGCAAGCAAATTGATTCTCTTGTTGAGTCTTTATATATAGAATATAGTGTTTCCAAGCTTTTGACTAGTACTGTACACCAAAACATAAGTGAATATGCAAAATACACAAAAGTGATAGGAAAAGAGTAGGGAAGTTACCCTGGTGTCCTGGCCAAATTGGCCTTTAATCATGGCCTCCTAATGATCCCATCTATGAATTGACTTCATTACTCTGCTCTCCTCCCCTCTGATAGCTGATGTGTGGTGAGCGTTCTGGCGCACTATGGCTGCCATCGCATCATCCAGGTGGATGTTGCACATTGGTGGTGGTGGAGGGGAGTCCCCATTACCTGTAAAGGATTTTGAGTGGAGTATCCTGAAAAGCGCTGTATAAGTGTAAGGAATTATTAATTATTATTATTATTAAGAGTAAATGTGAGCTTGATTGTGAAAGGGAATGAAAAGCTTGCTTAGTATCACGCTGAAATGTCATGAAACGCAGGAGGGAAATTGAAGGGATTTGTAGAAACGTAGACATGCTCTTTTATATTGAGAAGAAAGTTGTCAAATGCTACTATAGTTTGTGATACGCTTAGGTTACTGGTTACTGGAAGTTCTAATGAGCATATGCTCTTCACTGCCTTCTTCATTCAGTTTTCCTTTTTGTCAATGTATAATATATTAGATATACATAGCCACACACTGTCCTTTCTAGAGTCTAATTGGAATGGCCAGTACAATCTTACATGTGGATTCACAGCCAGGCAGTTGATCGTGCTAATCAGGGCAGCAATCTCAGTAGATGACTTGCTGCACAAACCCAGTCAGGGCTTTCAGACTAAACTTCTTTGCTTTTTTTGCATTTTTTCCCTCCGTTTTCTTTTATTAGGCATCACGACCAGAGTCCTTGATGTGACTAAGAAGGATCAAATTGAAGCCCTAGCCAAAGAACTAGAGAGGATAGATGTACTCTTCAATGTTGCTGGGTATGTGTACCATATTTCTGTTTGTTTGCATCTGTCTCTGAGGTTACTAGGCATCATAATTGTAAAGCAGTGTAACTGAACTCTAAATATCCAAGTTTCATTTGATATATTATATAAAGCTTTTGATTTCAAATTGATGTTTTATTTCATCTGAGAGCCCATCTCTTTGACAAGACGTGTTCAGGTTCAAGACCTGTTGACCGTGTGAAGTCCGCTGGCAACAGCTCGGTTTGGAACATACATTTCACTGTTTTAAATTTTCCCTGACTGGAGCTCAACTTTCATCACATACGAGCTCCAAATTAGATTACATCAGAAAAAACAAATGAAGCTCCCAATTTTTTTAATGTTTTTTTTTTAAATCTGGGAGCTTTGATTTGGACTATTGTAAAACCATTCAGTAGAATAATGATACATTTTAGTTTCACTGCATGCAACAACAGTGTGCACTCTGGGGTCATTCCCACTAAAATGTCAAGTCTAAATGTGAAGGCTTATGTTCCTTATAAACAAATGTAGTGCAGATTTTAAAAGCATTGTTGCAATACAGTTTATATATATATACTTTGTAGTGAATTTTGAACATTCCCCAAAATAAAAAAAACAATTCTAAGCCCCCTTATGTACAGTATTTTAACTTAGGAGTGTTTAAACTTATAATGATTGAGTAAATGAATCTTCCCTGGCATCTATCTGAATATCTCAGCCAAAATGTCACATTTCTCTCTAGTTTTGTTCACCACGGGACCATCCTTGATTGTGAGGAGGGAGACTGGGATTTTACAATGAACCTCAATGTTCGCAGCATGTACATGATGATCAAAGCTTTTCTGCCAAAGGTCATTGGTACTTTTAATTATTCTTTTAATTCCATTTTTTTAAGATTAAAAGATTCCTACTGTAAATATATACTGATGGAAAAAAGAAATGCAACATTTTCTGGAATGAGAATACTATAGTTA